GAGCTTTTTATGGAAAATAATTAAGGTATGCAACAGCCGCGATCTGGTCGTTCTGAACAGGTTACTCCTAAGCTCTGATTCACTCAAAGCCAAAAAAAGCAACCAAACCCTTTTCAAAGGAAGAAATCGATATGTTGCTTCCAGCTGAACCAACTAAGGATGACACGAAGTCTGGAGAGTCTTCAGAAGAGGAAGAAGGATCCGATGAAGAATATTGACACTCATCATCATCCTAAAATAGTTTTTTACACAAATTTTGTTTTAGAATCCAATTACACATTTATTATCCATTGCATTACAAGGTTAAATCGGTTATTTCCATCATTTTTTTGTAACTTATATCTCAAGGAAGTCTATACGCATTTTAACAATAAAAACAAATTTGAGCAACATTATAAAAAAAAAAAAAATAGTCTGTTATTCCCTTAGTTAAAGTTGAATTTCATTTTTAAACAGGTGGAAACCCTGCCACGTGTTGTTTAGAAATGAAGCCTTTGAAAACCATTTCAATTGATACCCATATTGTAGTAATTCAGTTAAGTTAACTATATTTAAGTTTTTACCAGGTGGCAACTCTTTGCATGTACTAACCTATATATAAGCATCGCCGAGACGAACACGTATGTAGGTATGCATGTTTCTACAATCGGACCCCGGCAACATAGAGTCTATCGGTGTCTAACTGTAACCAACTTTATTTTCGTTGCTTTGGAGGAATAATTGTACGTCCTCCACCTATATTTACTTGATTTTAAACATTTACAATTTTAGACATCGTAACGTCTTTTCTAAACATTTTGAAATACAATTTTCATAAAAATAATTTTGCCCGCCTTAAGCGGCCAAATACCCCTATGTGCGCCGTATAGAGTGGCGTAAAACAGTAGGGACCCCCTTTATGGCACAACACCAAGGCCACGCTACAAATCGGAGGAGAAGCTCGGCCAAACACTAACATATTGTGTAAACGCCAATCTATTATTATTTTTACGCGTAGAGATGTTGACTTAAAACACCGAGGCCGTGGGTTCAAATCCCGCTACATGCAATCTAAACTATAGTACAAATTTCCCTTCTTTAAAGCCCAATTGATATCGGGAAGAATTGTCAGTCCCATGCAGCCTCATTTCGTAAGTCGTAAATGAGGCTAAATTGTACGACTCGACAACATTGGCATTGCCTACTGTCGTGCCGAAATAAGTAAACGACGAAAAGCTTCGGAAACTATACAGTGCTGCCAAGATTTTCCGTTTTAATACACTAGTCGAGTGGAAATTTTAGGCAATGACGTGAAATTATCGATATGATTCGACCCTCGAAAAACGACTTGCATTCTACACGACTTTCGCAATGAGGGTGATTATCTTATTAATTTGAGTTTTAGACATTCGATACGATACTAGGGTTCTGGTACTCGATTCCAAAAAATATCGCTTTAAAACTATCGAGTAAAAAATATCGGTATAGAATGCCAAAAGTATCGATATGGTATCGTATCGTATCGAAATTCGTGTCCCTATTAATAGCCCGAACACAATGAAAACGACGAGCTATGGACTATAGCTGTCAAATTATTTTAAAACGTACTCTTATGTAGATAATTATTTTGGCGTTGACCGGGCTACGCGACGACTATGGTTGTGGCCAGATTAGATCTATTTCTATTTTTCCAGCGTAAGATAAGGTTCTTCCTCTTCTTTTATGTCAAACTCGTACAAATTCATGATGTCGCCGACGCATTCAAAAAAATCATGTCGCCATCGACAAAGCGTTTAGACAATGAAGATAACTAATTGGAACCTGTGGCTGCAGCTCGTCGTTTTTAATGTGTTCAGAACTTAAGGCGCACTTTACAAATCGTAGGAGAATCTCGGCCAAACACTAACATATTGTGTAACAACACGTAGAGATTGAGGTGTTGT